GCACCACGCGACGGCCGATGTGGCATGAGTTTATTTGTGTATGTGCAATTCATGGTTGTACGTGGGCTGGGATACTGCCAGGGCGCCCACACCTAGACAGGACGATTAGGGTCCTCAACCAAAGCCTTTGGCTCAAAAGCCTAACCGCAAGGCAGCGGTGTTTTCCTGGGAAATGCAAATGCATTACCATTTCTACGGAACAAGTCGCCACATGTTCCAACCCCCGACCTGGAGGGCCAGGAGACTGTGTTCGTCAGACCTCTAACCATTGACCAACCTGGTGTGAGAGACTCTGTGAGTGTCGCGGGACACTCTCCAGTATACCTCAACGGATCCCTGAGGTGCGCAAACCGTCACACCACGGTAAGGTCCAGTCTCTTGGTGACGGATCCAGCTTGGAGAAATCTGCCATCAAAGTCGTTCGTTGCTGGTGTGGCCTTTCTGACAGCAATAAGACCCGTCGATCTCGACGATACCCAATATTCATTTAGACGAGTCAGACGGCTTAAACAAACAGTTCTGAAACCTGAGAGCATGGTTTCTTTAACCCGGTTCCATTCAGCATCCAAGGAGGAGAGATCGCTCATTCGTTGGAGCTCGATTTTATTGAAAAGAAGGTCCGTGGTTCAGACCCAACCTCTGCCTTCCGACTTCTCCTGGCTTAGGCAACCTGGTAGTATCTCATGCTTCCTTCGGTTGGCATAGCAGATAGTCACCGAAAAAGTGTCACAGCTGAACGACTATCACCATAAGCCTCCAAGCAATCCTCGTCATCTGCATCACTGTGCGTTTCCAGTAGCCTTCTAGCCAGATCGGCTAGATACTTTTTAGCTACTGAAAAATCTCGTAGTTCATTAATGGAAGTGCTCAGTTTCCGCACGTATAATGCTGACGGAAAACCTGCTGATAACCAAGCTCGCACAATGGCATGATTTGAATCGTCATCTGCCTGTGCGTTTCCAGTAGCCTTCTAGCCAGATCGGCTAGATACTTTTTAGCTACTGAAAAATCTCGTAGTTCATTAATGGAAGTGCTCAGTTTCCGCACGTATAATGCTGACGGAAAACCTGCTGATAACCAAGCTCGCACAATGGCATGATTTGAATCAAGTTGCGTATCCAGAAGGAACGACAACCTTTAATGGATGTCCTCCATGGGTAACTGATAGCCATATGATCCAGCTGGATCCAAGATCGTCTTGCGGTTGGTGGCCTCCAAGTAACTTGACATGAGCGTTTGTGCTGGAAGTTCGTACTGGCCAGGAACAGAAGAAGCAGTCGCACCCCATTATCCGCACGCTGAGCAGTGACTCCAAATCCACCACCTAATTGTAGGGTCGTCCAGCTTTGCATTCATATCACCATGAGCGTTTGGGAAGTTCGTACTGGCCAGGAACAGAAGAAGCAGTCGCACCCCATTATCCGCACGCTGAGCAGTGACTCCAAATCCACCACCTAATTGTAGGGTCGTCCAGCTTTGCATTCATATCACCCGCCATAATTACTATAGCCTCCCTTCTTGCTGGCCGAAGTAGTCAAGCTCCGACAAAACCCATTCTTCTCATTCTCATAATTCCAGTCTGTCGGGGTTTATGCTGATACACATAAACACGGTTTACCACATTGACCTGCATTGAGCTTCATTGAGCCAGACAACCGCACAGCGCAAAGACGACTGTTTACTGGAATCCAGTGCAACAAAACGCCTTCAGCCTTGGGGCCGAATGCAACTCGCACACTGTATATACCACGAGCTATTGCGTCGAACCACAAAATACCCGAAGAGCAAAATTCGAAACAATTGAGCTCATCCTAAGCGGATGGGGTGGAGTCATGTATACGTGTTCCGGAAACAACATACATCGGCAGAGAGCGAAAGCATGCGTCCGATTTAACACAGCATGAACATTGAAGGCTGTAAGGTGGATCAGATCTTTCGACGTTTGTTTTTTTTTCTGAAGGACGATTTGGACACCGAAGTGGCTAGGGGACTGGCGGATGGGTTGGACACACTGCATCATCCAATGGGTGGAGAGGGATGGGGAGTGGGGGAGCGCGGATGAGTGAATAGATACAAGGGCGAACGACAGTTCCTGGTTGCCCGATTAGAGAAACGCGGGCTGGTTGAGGTACCTCACTTTGAGCCTTCGGTTCAAATGTCTGATCCACAAGGCAATGGAAGGATGGTGAGTTTTGTTCGGGGATCCTGCCCCTAGCCTCTAACGCAAAAGCCTGGACGGCAACAAAGAGGTACTGTTAAACACTGATGTCATGCTGTCCATGATGATGACGAATCGCAAGGAAGTTGTTGTCAGGGTTTCCTTCGAGTGACCCTTCTGGCAGTCAATAGCCCAACAGTACGATCCACTTCGCTGAAGGCGACCGGCTTTGCCTGGGAAAACGGGGAGTAAAACATTACTGTCTCACTCCTAGTGCAACGGCACAAAGCAGGTGCTTTTTGAGCACACCTGAACTCCGGTTTTAAAGGGAGGTCGACCGCATTGAATAATGTTTCGGTGTTCACGGCCAATCGCTGGGCGATCGGAGTGTGCATCTTTGCTAAACCATCCTTCTTCGGAGGGAGGCAATAGAACTGCATACATAAATATGAGAATGCTGGTCGCCCTGGAGGAACGCCCCACTACTTCCATACTCCTATCGATATTTCTTCCATACCGCCTCGCAATACGGGGACTAGCTGCTCTTCGTCGGGCTGCTCCTCCTTAGCCTTCCTGGCAAGGTTGGATCTTTAGGAACCGTGTTCCAGCCAGCACAGCCCACAGGATCATTGCACTACGGAAGCCTCACCACCAGGACAAGGTAACAGTTTTAGGTCTGAGAAGCGAACATAATCACCAAAGACAGCAACATTAGTGCCGCATACCCATAAAGTTTATTTAGTTATATTTAAAGCCTTGGAGTGAAAAGAAGGGTTCAGTGAGGGAGGGGACCTGGTGCTGGCATATCGCAAGCACTCTGAGGTTTCTAAACTTCGAAGCTCTCAGACGATCTGAAAAGAGACTCACACGAACCCCACTGACATCAATCAGCTGCGGTTTCTTGCGATATCCTCACTCCATGTGGACCCCATCCTTGGAAACATGCAACATTTAGTTCCGAACTCTTCGTAATCTCAGACCCCTCAGCCAACTCATACGTGTCCACCTCACGCTTTACACCATTCTGAAGGAGATACAGAAAACACCACTCGTCTCGGTAGGCCGTGTTTCGACGTGTGTAGCACATGGCAGAGCCTTCAGACCGATTCGTTCTAAACAAGTCTGGTGTAGATGGCCGGAAGCAGAGTACAATCTGGGATGGTAGTCTTCGAAGCTTGAAGAACAGACTGGTGAACGTTCCTAGTAGTGATGGCTGGTAAGTACATATGAGTGATATCTGACGTGTACGTTGCAACAGACGTTAATGGATATGTGTGGATAAGAGGAAAGCCGGTAAAAATCTCCGCTTTATCCTATAGAGGGGGTTGAACGTGCCCTTTGAATTATGAATGGGAGGAGATATGGATGCATGAAAACTAAGGTCTAATGCTACTGAAGGTTTCAGAGGAGGATCGACACTTGACGGACGTACCAGATTACTGGTTCGTCCAGCTATTACACCCTTTTGGTACGTAGCTGTCGTGTCACCCGAAGGGAACACGAGGGCTGAGGTGTTCCAGGTTGCCCAAATCTAGACATCAGCAGTCGGGATAGCAACATGAACATTGTCCGTAAAGCACAAGGATCTGTGGTAAGTCGTTCAAAATCATTGAATAAGAAAATCGTTCATCCGTAGCAACTTTTCAGCGCCTAACTGCCATGCCATCAGAGATAAACATGAGGGCTTGGATACCGCCAGGTTGCCCAACCCTAGAAGTCGAGAGGCAGAGTTCGGGTCCGAACCAAAAACATTCCGGTCAATAAACACTGAGCCATTTTAACTACTGAGTCATCGTTCAAAGAAGAGAAGAAGTCAATGAAGGGGGTGTTCGTTCCTTTCCGGGACCCATATTCATCTTCCGGAGTGCTTTGCAGGGTGGCTGATCCAATAAAAGGTTCTCAAAGCCCAATTCGAATTGTGGTTCTCCTGGGGCCTATGGATCTGGCGGTTAACTTATCGGTTTGGGTATTTGATGTTTGAACAATTCACGAGCCGACGGTTGGTCGTCCGGAAAACCACGGCTGCACCCTATTTAACTTGACCAGATAATTATTTCAAGTATACATACCGCCTCGAAGAAGCCCATTCTGAAAGAGACGGTGGTTGTTTGGTTCTAGTAGACGGTAGGTGGGGCTGGCTTCATTCTAAGAGTTTGTATTACGTCAGTTGACCCGGTTCTGCCTACGACATAGCATAGCTCCAGGTAGATCAAAACGAAGAGCTATCTACTACCGGCCTTCTTCTGCGTCCGAATACGGAATGCACACTAAATATCGGACAACCATTTCAATGGGGAATCGTACCCAATTCGTTGTATATTCATACTTTCAGACACAACAGCCATCGCCCCAACACCTGTTGGGGAAATTCAAAACACACGACAAAGCAGCTGGTGCAAGTCAGAGTGATGTTAAGCGTTCGACGCCGAAGTGTTGGCGTTACCAGAATCATGATAAAATAAGCTGATGACCTGATACCTGGTATTGTCTTTGCGTTGGAGTAGGGAGTCAAAACAAGTCGCAGTTTGTTAGCAACAATTGACCTGGTCTCATAATGGATACGGGGATCACCTCATAGGCCTATCCTGGAGAGCTAGGCAGCGAAGTCAAGCGACGTCCTTCGTAGGTAGTCGTGCCTAATGGCATCACCTATTTGGCCCCTCAATTGAAAGCACCCGATGATTCAGCATGGCCTGATCTTCAATACGATACAGCTAACCCGTAACATTAATTCCGTCAGGATTTGACCAGAAAATTAACACAATGAGTCAGCAAACTGAACCAAGGGCATGAAACGGGGCTCTATACGAACATAGCAGCCGAGCATGGCAAATCGGCTTACCAGTTTCCAACCCGTCGGCAAAGCCATATGGAATTGATACAAGTATGTGTTCTGCATTATTATAATACTCCTAAGAAGTTTGTTATCATAACTCCAAACAACGTACATATTCAAACTCGTCTCTACATGGCATATAACCAATGGTTTTTTGCTCATCCGTCCGAAGATCGAGTGCTGTGACGCACTGTTCCCCGAGATCATCAACAGTATGGTCCAGAGTAACACCGGATCGTTCATTGCTTTTCCCTATTGTGTGTCTTCCTATCACCCCGAAGACATAGAACTGATCGAAGTGGTGCTGGCAATCAGCAGCAGTCCGAGACGGTAGCTGTGCAGACACCTCGTGCCTAGTTATGTAAGAATTAGCGAGCGTTAACTAACCAGTTGCCATAACCATATGTTTCAACGGCGTCAAGAAGTCTTTTCTCCTCCTCCGAACTCCAGTCACACTGTGAACTGAAGAGACAATCCGAAGGAACAGACTGAAACGACTGAGTCCTCAGGTGATAAATATGAAACTAACTTCAAGGGTGTATGCGTGCGACTTTTTGTGCGCACCACTTTCCGCACCACAGAGGAAACACTAATGACAGAAATGACATTTAAATCGTCCACTTACGTTGATGCAGAGCCTAACGGAATTGCATTCTACGCACAACACACAGACTTCTGTGAGCTTCTGAAGGCAGTAGGCACATTTATGCGACTTTTGCTGCATTCTTGAAGTATCATTGGGCGGCAGAACTTCCCCAAACGTCTTAAGCACAAATCACACAATACATCTCGTCCGGCGCGCTACCACCGAACAGTGACCTCACATATTCTTCAGTCCATTTTGTACGAATCAGCGGTGGTCCAACGATGTAACTTTATCAAAGATTGGTTCGTATAGACCGTCGACGCATTTGTCCAGGCTTAACATTTTTGACGTGTTCTTGTCGCTCACCGGTTCCATTTTAGCCGGATGAATGCTGGAAAATGTGTCTTGTGCAGCTCTTCCCCTATTCTGTTTTGGGCAGTAGTCTCGCCTGCGCGATGACTCCTGTGGTAACCATAAAAAAGTTATATAACCTGGGTCTTAACTGTGTGTGGAAGGTTGTTCTTCACACTCACTAATGAAAATGACCAAAAATGTTCACTCCCGTCAAGAAATTATTCCCTCATCTCCTCTAAGTAACCGTGGGTTGACAATCAAAATTTGGAAGCCAGACCTTCCTACAGCAAAACGTGATTGTGCATCGGTTCCCCTTGGAGACTATGATTGTCATCAAGAAAGAGTTCAAGGACTTTCATTCGAATTTTTCTGCCGACGTATTTGACGCCGGTAACCATCTGCGCGCATGGCCGCTCGACAGGCTCAATACGGTTATGACCCTCATGCACCCCGGGTATGCAGCCTGGATGACATATTCAAGAAGTAAGACCGAAGATTGCATGCGATGCCCAACAACTGGAGAAATGGTACGGTGGAAGGTTTGTTGAATCACCCAAGGATCAATGAGCGGTTCTTAAACAGATTTAACCTTGTGGACTAAAGACGATCGAGAAAGCAACTTCACTTTGGTAACTTGTCCTGCTATTTCATTCTCACTGAGTCCTCCTCGGACAAGTTAACAACATTTTTACCGTCATCAGTTGTCATTCCAGGGACCACTGGTTTGGCATGTACATTTAAACTGTGCTGGCTTGGAAACCTCAGTATTTCGTGTCACACAGGAAAAGGACAAATGGACAGAGCCCGTCGGGAAGCGTATTGGCGTGGGCCACCAAGACGAGTGTCCACAAGCCGGATTCAATGAGAACCGTGTCGGAGACCTTTGCAGACTAACAACTGTTTGGTCCATTTTTCATTTTCTGCTAGAAGAGAGCACTGGTCCTCCTGAAGGTTTCGGAGTTATAGAGCTTGTAATTTGTGAGGCTGGAAGACAAAAATGCATAGTCAGACACGCGTTTTCTCTTTTTGACTTGTGTTGAATTGTCCATGAACACGCATATCTGCGCTACACAGTGACGCTTTTGGAGGAATACGTGCTTTGCACTGGGTACCAAGATTGCGATAATTAGCAAAAAGAGAGGCCACTCAAACCGCTCATCGCCTCGTGCCAAACGACAGTCCAGTAATCATGTCTGTCCTACCAATTGGGCATCATTTAGAGGTAATTTCCAGTCAATATTCTGTTCCCTTGATCTTATTTGGATGAAAGTCGTCTGGCTCAAACGCGCTGAATGAAATGCTGTAGCACACGACTTAACAAATATGTGTAAAGGCAGTCTGGAAAAGGCTGCTCGTAGTTCCCATTTGCCGAGATTGGGTGTAACAAGGTCGGGTGTGATATAATAACCTGCGCAATTTTATGTGTAAACTGCATTTTTGTTTCTCAATCTCCACTATTAGAGAAGAAAGTCGTTGGTATGTCTCTTCGCCGTTGTCCCGTTCACGTCAATATTATTGGTTTCACTGAAACGTGGAATCGATTGTGGTGACCGGTGTTTTAACCGTCAGACTTGGTGGTTCCTGAAATGAATCGAAGAGCGGCATTGTCGGGCGGCATTGTCCTTACTGATATATTCTTGTGCGCCTCGCCAGCGGGCACAATACAGTTAACTACTGGGTACACCAATACCGGCAGCCCGAGCATGAAAAAACGGCATCGGTCGATTACTTTACCTGTGCTCGCCCACTACTGCGAGGAATAATTCTAACGAAGTGTAGGTTAGTCCCAACAATTTGGAGGAAATTAGCGTCGACGAAACGATTGGCAAGTTCCTCATGAACGAGAACCTGTTTGGTGAACCTGCTTAAGGGGTCCGTGCACTTGTGGGAACCAAGATGCTTCCGAGTGCTAACCTGCACTCATAGAAAGCCCGATTTTTTGACCGCATATATTGGCACAACGTGCGAGGATGCAATATTGTTTTGATGTTGATACCGCTGTGCGAATGGATCAGGGTAGAGTATAAGTTGCTTCAATTAGGAGAGCAGAGAATGGTTCTGCGCAACCCATCTGTATGAGAAGGTTGTGTTCATATAATTTGCGGCGTCGTCGGAATTTAGATTTTTGGACGAGCAAAGAGCTCCACGAGCACAAAGCACACTTATTCAAAATGTGTTCTAGGCAGAGTGGTGACCGGCAAATAATGGAAATCGTAACCTAAAACGCCTTGTCCAATGAAGGAGGAAATAATAACTGTTATTCTCAACTGGCGGACTGCATGTCGTCAGGCTGTCCATAATGGTAAATTAGGAATTGAAGTACGACTGATATCAGCTGTGGTTGTACAGCAATGCGTGGAAACAGGGAAATCGCATAGATTATATACATCACCCGAAACAGCTGAGATCATACCTAGATTGTCACTGACTAAGTGCGGTGTGCACCGGGGTCGGAAAAACAGTGGAAAGTTTTTCCAGCTTGCGTGGAACATATCGTACTGAAGCATGACCATAAGATTGCAACTTTAAGTTTGCGCGCGACAGTGCAAAGCGGGTGGCAGAACTAAGGGGTTGTTTCCGGTAAGTGATAAGAAACCTTAAACTACTGAAAATAAAACACCATAAAATAAATCTGAATAAATAACAGTATTTTAGTGATCCAACCGGCCAATTCGAAATAGAACCGAAACATTGTTGAAACGTCTTGATTTTGGTAAGCTAAGGTAATTCCAGGGTCACAAAAAGAGTACGTGGGGTGATGGTGTTGAAAGTCTCAGAATTGGAATGAATAGCAACCGTCATTTCAGAATCACGGATGAAGTGGTTTAGGTGATATGATGAAGCACATGCGATTCCATGGTCAACACTATTTTCGGAATCCATGGAGATAATATAAAGCCAGTGCATGATAACAGGCAATTTCGGTCCGGTTGGAGATCCGTGGAGATACACAACGAAGATCAGTCAGGGCTAATAACTACTGCACAGACCGTTCGGGGCTCTTTCTACTGAACACCAAGGCTTGTTAACTGGATGGAGGGGGTGAGATTAGTAAAGACGGATGGGTGTGAGAAGATATCAGATCGCCTGCGATTCATTACTGTAAACCGCCTTTAAAATTGTTACTGAACGGTGGATGAAAGCAAGTAACTCAAAAGAGCCAGAATTGAGGCAGATTTGTTCTGATTAACTTAAGAACCAATGACTGCTTATTGTTATTGTGATACAAGAGGCATAGAGCAAACCATTGTGAGTAAGCTTATCGAAGGCAGCATGAAATTCCTCGAAGTAGCGATGCAAAAGATGAACTTTGGTTGCAACGGTCGAAGGGTATTTCGAGTGACGCGTAATACCAAAACCTCCGGGTAGGCAAAACAAGTCGGATCTGGGCTTCTATATGGTACTATTAGGGTAAGAGAAATTCACAATTTATACAGACCTCAACAGTAGATACGCGTCCAAAACAAGCAGTCTGCTTGGACTACAAAAGTACAAAGCAAGGGAGCAAACAGGCTCCCACGTGCGACAGTCACAAGTGCAAAGTCAGACACAAATGGCCGGATCACTTCAAGGCCCGATGGGTGAAGTGGTAAGGACAAACAACCGTAGGTTCATACATACACACTAAACACAAAAGTGGGTGAGGGTTACAAATAGGGATATAACAAACGTGGGGAGTTTCATTGTCAACATAACGGATGATGCAACGGCCGCCAAATTCTCTGCGTTGATTCAGCGGGTGCCCCTGTTCTTGCCCTACGCTCACCCCATTCTAAGGTACCCCATCAGCCACCGACACGAATTTTCCGTATCCACTCCTGTCACAGGTGCCGACTTCGATGGAGGTCAAGCCTAATCGCGTCGCTCCAGTAAACACACCTTTGCAATATCTCTCTGAAGAACGCCACCCGCCATTCTAACACGCAGGGTTCCTAATAAGTCATCTGGGCTCTCCTCACAACTGCCCCCAGAGGCCATTTCTCCCGAGGCAGGTCCTCACTAGAAAACAGAACCAAGTCCCCTCGGTTCAATGCTTGGGTTGCCCTGAGCCACTTGGTACGCGTCTGCAACTTTGGCAGATATTCCTTCATCCAACGACGCCAGAATACGCCAGCGAGACAACTGACCTGTTTCCAACCGGCATGATATCGTGAGGCCAAACCGTCGCGACCGGGTACTGCGGGACAGCACCGCATCTGCAACAAACTGATTGGAGTAAGCGGCTACAAATCGTTGCTGTCTGATGATAGCGGAACTATAGGTCGGTTATTGAGAGTTCGTTCCGCCTGTATAGGAAGCGTGTTCAGTTGTTCATCGGTCAAACATTGTCCCCTCCATTGACACAAAAGGATACGTCATATCGACCAGATTATACGCTCCCACACACCACCACGATGGCTAGCTGCTGGTGGATTGAAGTGCCACTGTATATCCATAGTCAATAGCCGGTCTGGTAATTTACTTGGACTCCACCGCTTTATATCATCCAGAAATTCCGTTGGCGCACCAACAAAGTTCGTACCATTATCACTGTAGATATCCGTG